GACGAATATCAAATGTCCATTTTGATCACGTGATCCTTTTTGTCGCTAAAATAGCCGGTTAGAGCAGCTCGTGAAAATTTACCTTAAGGCGTAAGACTTAAGCAGTAAGCGAATCGACCAATCACAATAGAAACCGTAAGTCCGGATCTACAATAGGATTTTAAGCCTTAAACCATAAGAAATGGGCGAATCACAGTAGCTTATTCTTCTCGGATTCGACTGTAATTGGTCAATTTCTTATGGCTTAAGGCTTAAAACACCTATTGTAGATCCGGGCTAAGACCATACGTAAGCAATAGCGAATCCAACATATTGGCCCGTATTCAGAACGCGCTTTTATCGATAAAAGCGCACTTTTATCTCTGAAATTCTATAATATGCGTGACGTAAAGTATAGTATGTTAGCGTGCTAACATCGTTGTAAATGCGTTCTGAATACGGGCCATAGATTTCGTTACTGCTTAAGGCTAAGTTTCCACTGAGCGCGTCACGCGTCGCGTCGTCGAAGGAGAGAAAGAGAGAGGTTTTGTATTTATATAATCTTATCTCTTTCTCTCTTTCATGACGCGACGCGTGACGTGCTCAGTGGAAACGTACCATAAGTCTTACGTCTTAAGTTTTTCTATGCGCCAAGGCCTTAAGACTTCTGACGTTCTGACTTGTGGCTTATTGTAGAAGGCCTATTACAGTCGAATCCGAGAAGAATGAGCAACTATGATTCGCCCGTTTCTTATGGCTTAAGGCTTAAAACTCTATTGTAGATCCGGACTAAAGCGGGGAGCACAGACTCTTGCATAACGCATAACACGTAATGCATAAGAATATGTACCAATCGAAGTTCTCCGTTTCTTTCCCTTCCATGTAATAGAGAACTCTGGTTGGTTCAATTTCTTATGCCTCTTGTGTTATCCGTTATGCAAGAGTCTGTGCTCCCCGCTTAGGGCCATTCCACACAAACTTGCAGAGCCGCATAACCATATGCATAAAGTAAATTATCCAATCACATTTCTGTCATAAAGACAAACGTAAACTACGATTGGATGATTTTCTTTATGCATATGTTTGTGCGACTATGCCAGTTTGTGTAGAATGGCCCTTAATGGCCGCAGCACAGACTTTTGCATAACGCATAACGCATAGTGCATAAACGAATCAACTAATCAGAAGCTTTCTTTTCCTCTCATTCCTTGGAAAAGAAGAATTTTGATTGGGTGATTCCCTTATGCACTATGCATTTATGCGTTAAGCTGGATTTTCATCTGACGCTAGACGCTCATTTTCAGCGTCAAAACAGGTCACGTGATCAAAATTGACGCATGGTATTCGTCAATTTTGATCACGTGACCTGTTTTGACGCTGAAAATGAGCGTCTAGCGTCAAATGAAAATCCAGCCTTATGCAAGAGTGTGCTGCGGCCTGCGGCCATGACTCTCTCTTGTCTTGTTTTTGTTAGCGCTTTGGCGGCAAAAGGCGCAATTGTCTAGGCAGTAAAGTCGCAGTTGGTTGCAGAGATGCCAATTCTGTTACGATTTACGACATCGCGACTAGCGCCATCGGTCGGCGGCCTGGCACAACCGGTAGCACACACACAAGCACAAGCTTGTGTACGTGTGACTCTGGTAGCATAAGCCTGCCGACTTGCTCTGTCCTCGTCGCACTACGTTCTTTCCTTGTTCGCCTTTGGCGCGCTGAGAGCGAACGAGACAGCGAAAGAGAATCTGAGAGAGAGAATCCTTGTCGCTGACTCGGGCTGGATTCGGGGAGACGCTATTAGCGCTATTTCTGTCATTCTATCTTCATCGTCCATTAGACGTGAGACAAGGATAGTACTACACAAATGGCGCTGATAGCACTCTGCCCAAACGCAGCCTCGCTGTTATGTCGTATAGCCGACGGCTATACTGTCTCGTTCGCTCTCACTCAGCGCGCCAAAGGCGAACAAGGAAAGAACGTAGTGCGACGAGGACAGAGCGAGTCGGCAGGCTTCTGCTACCAGAGTCACACGTACACAAGCTTGTGCTTATGGGTGCACTACCGGTTGTGCCAGGCCGCCGACCGATGGCGCTAATCGCGATGTCGTAAACCGTTAAGGCCCGTCTACAATACACGGAGTAAAAAGTAAAGAAATTGACCAATCACAGTCGATTATTCTTCTCACATTCGACTGTGATTGGTCAATTTCTTACTCTTACTTCTTACTCCGTGTATTGTAGACGGGCCTTAACAGAATTGGCATCTCCGGTTGGTTGCAGTTAGTCGATTGTGTCGATTATTTAAGAAATATGTGAAATTTGTGTAATATTTTGTGTTAATATTATTTGTTTGTTAAGTGTTATTATTATAAAGTAAATATTTATGAAATACTTGCTTGCTTATATATTTTTTGTGTAATTATTTAAATGAAGGTGAATTGGTGAAGGTTTTTACGGGGAAAAGTCTTGGCGGTGTGATTAAACAATAATTACTTGAAAAACTAATTTTTATTGTTAATAACAATGGATTTCTCAGCTACGCAAGTTTATAAAGATGAAGATAATTTATTTACTGACTCACATGCATTATCGGAGGAAGAATCAGTACAGGTTAAGTATAGTTAAATATGTTTTTTTAATAGTAAAATGTAAAGTTCGAGAGAGAGAGAGAGAGAGAGAGAGAGAGAGAGAGAGAGAGAGAGAGAGAGGGAGGTGGGAGGGAGGGGGAAGGAGAGAGAAAGAGAGAGAGATTGCATGTATTGTAGTGTATTTATATTATATTTGTTAAATCTTAAATATTTTTTGTCTTAAATGTTTGATATTGAATTATTTTCTAATATTTTATTTCATATATATATATATATATATATATATAAATAATACTTAATGCATAAAATGATTCAACAAAACGTTTTATATTTTATTAAAAAATTTAGGTTGGAACGTTAAGCATCAATTCCACTGATTACCAGATTAAAACGGGAATTACAAAAATTGGTAGACTTGATACGTGCAACATTGTTATTCAAGATGATGTAAGTTTCAGCATATTTTTTATTATTTTATAAAAAAATTAGTTGATAATTTTTATAAATTGGGCTTGAAGAAAAATATTCCTTTAGTTTTATAAGAACTTGCTATAAATTGATGTATAAAATTGAGTAGAGGAAGGTCACCGATACCAACATACCACTGTTTTTAGACAATATTTCTTAAACAAAAGATAAAAATACAACTTCAAAAATATAAATACAAAGTAAAAAGTGTCTTCTATCAGATAGAATAAGCAATTTTTATAATACTGTTTGCAATTTTGCAATAATTAAGTTGCAATAATTAAGTTTTTCATAAGTTATGCAAAAATGAGCATCTGTCAAAATGGGCTCCAAAACTGACATAATAGGCAATAATACTAACATTCTTATTTTATAAATAAAGATATCCTATTCTGTAAAGAAAACTAATTTATGAAACTATAAACATTTAAAATGACATAATATTATCAATAATATAGTAAAATTATTATTTTAATTACAATTTGCAAAAGAACACCGTAAGAATTTTCTTCTCGGATTCATCGAATTGGTTTTTAGCTGATTTGGTATAGAAATAAGCCACAAATATATGAATTACGAGTTATACTTCCTTAATTAGCTAAACAGATTATGATCTTATTAGTATTAATAAAGTGCAATAGTTAGTTTCTGAGAAATAAGGGAGTGTCACTTTAGGAGACTTAGTCAGTATCGGCGACTTTCCTCTAATATTACATCCAAATAAAGCTTGAATATAATTTGAATAAAATATTCAATTTTTTCCCTGATATTATTTAAAGCTCTATTGGTTTTGATTATGATGGATAGATTGTATAATCTTTTTTTCTATTTTTTTTTTGTACATAGTAAAAGACTATTGAACAAATATTTTTGATGCCAAGTACTAAAAAAAGTTTGTAATATTTTTATACAAATCTTTTTTTCAGATGACAGTGTCAAAACTACATGCAGAAATTGAAGCTAGCGGTCGAGGATCAACCTGGATCTGTGATCTGAAATCGCTCAACAAAACAAAGCTTAATAATGTAATTACTACATATCTTTATTGTTAATAACTATATCGATGAAACTGTGTCATTTCATCAATTTGATATGCAAGCTATGTCATATGATCTGACATTGCATATGCAGACATATAACTAATTGATAGAGAAAAAATTATTCTTAATAAACTACATATGTGAAACATGCATATATAAATTATATAAATATCTTAATGTTTTATTTAAAATGATGTGACAAAAACGTTGTGACAATTTTTAAGATGAATTAATTATAGAATTTTTTCTTATTTTTACAGTTAATACTACAACCTAATCGTTCGTACGAACTTAAGGATGGAAGTGTTATTGAATTCGGAGGAGTGCGTGCAACTTATTGTATATACTGTCCGGCTAACGATGAAGTAATACCAGAAACACCTGCACCATCGCGACAGAAAACTGCGAATATAATAATTCCTAATACGCCAGATTCATCACTCGTAAGTGCTTTACACGCGATTGGCATGTAATATTTGTTATGGGCTTTATCTCCTATTGGTTGTATAATATTGGTGTTAATTGAACTAAACTTAGGAATATATTTATTTGCAGAATATTTCATCCAGTGTGGACAATGATGGATCCATTATTCTTGGAACTCAGAAAGATGATGAGACTTGCAGCGTCTTTCGACGACCGCGAGTTCCGCAACAAAGTTCATCTCCAAGTATTAATAAAAAGAATACTTCCAAAAATGAGAGCAATGACTCGCTAAGTACCATTGCATTGCATACGTCTGATATTAATGTTAGCGAGAATCAAGTTAGTATATATGAAGCAGAGACGCAAAAGTTTGATAAAGGATATAAAATGACATCAAATTCCATTTATGATATGGAGACCCAAGATGATCTTGTTGATATATCCAAGCATGTTAAAACGAATACTAAAAATGGCAAGCAGCTGCCAAGACTAAATGTTTGCGATAAAACAGCTGGCAGATCTGTAACAGATATCCACGATATGGAAACACAGAATTGTTTAGATGATATTAATGAAATAGAAACTCAAAAGGACAATATAAATATTCGAAATGTAACGGCGACGAAGTTTACGACGGATATTCATACTATGGAAACGCAAGTTGATACTGACAACATTGATGAAGATAGCAGCAATGCTCAGAAGTTTGAAATCGATAAGGGTAACAGTCAAGAGAAAAATTTAGCTAAAATCGGGTGCAATATTCACGATTTAGAGACACAAAGGTTCGATGATAACTATATTGTGAAAAATATATCTAATTTGGAAACTCAATTTGAATTAAATAGCATTGCAAGAGGCGAGCAGAATAAAGACATATCCGATATGGAAACTCAATTCGAGACGGATGGTACGGCAAATGAGATTAATAATGATCGAGCAAATAAGAAAAAAGACAGAAACGATATAGCAAATACTACTAAGGACGGGATAAATCACGAAGACATCACAAAGTCATCGAGATCCAGATCCAGTAATCGTAGGTATTTGAATTTATCTTCACCAAGAGTTGAAGGTAGACTTTCTTCATCATTAAACCAGAGCACTCATTTGCTTGAGTCATCAGGTTTATTAGAGCTCTTTAGCGAGGGCATTGATGAGCAAGAAGTGCAAGCATCTAATGCGTCTACTCCGAAACCGCTTGCAAAAATGTCATCGAAAAAGAATAGCAACGTTGAACATGTACAAAACATAGTAAATGATGAAGAAAACGATGAAGATATTTTCGAAGCTCCTACTCAATACGCTAGTCGCAAATTTGAAGCTTTAATATCGGATGATTCTGAAACTGATGAGAAAGATGCAGTAATAACCTCCAAAGATTCCAAAAAGAAGTGTAGAAAGCCTCGCTTGGAACAAACTAACGACGTTTCGGAAACGGACACGCAAGAAAACATTGCAGAACTTGCTGAAAAGCAGTGTGAATTAAGAACTTCAAATAAACCATCTGATGAAGTTGTAAATGATAGAAATGACCCTGGCACGAGCATCGAATCTGAAGATATGTTTGATGTACAAACGCAATTGAACAATCCTGTAACTAATAATACATCGAATTTGTCAATTGATCAATCACAAAACTCTAATCAAATTAATGAGGCTAAGATTAGTGATATGTCACCGACACAAATTATAAACAACAATCATGATAATCAAAGAAGTACATCTGTGTCAGATATTGATGTAGCGCCTACTCAAGTCATTTTATCACGTGAAACTTCTCCGAGTAATTCTATAGACTTGGCCTCGAAAAATAATGTGGTAAACAAGCGAATTATTAATGCAGAATTAGTTGATTATCGCACAACAGAAAATCTTGATTGTGAAGATATAGATTATGAGCTAGCACCTACACAAGTAATCGGTGAAATTGAAAATAAAGGAAAGGGAATTTCCACTCGTGAAAAAGGCTCCTCTCAAGTAAATGACACTCTCGAAGAAAAACTCAATGAAATGTTTGATGATGTAAATAATGATATGAATAGCATTCACGAGTCGCCGCATATGTCGACGCAGTATCTGGAAAAGATTTTGGAATCATCACAAAGTGATGACTCTATTAATAAAGCCAACGATGATGACAGAGATACATGTAACGTGCCACAAACAGAAGAGAAACAGCATGCATCTCGTAATCAACGTTCACATAATTTACTAGATAGTGAAGTAAATCCGAATAATGTAAATAAGGCAGAGACTGAATCTCAAAATTCAGATATTTATTTTTCTACTATTACTACAAGACGAAAGCGAAATATTTTAAAAGATACACAAGAGTTCCCAGACTCTGTGAAGGATATAACTCCTGATCAGGACATTAATTTTTCCCAGACATCTAAAGCAAGTAATGAAAAAGGCATGGATGATAATGTAGCTCAAGAATCTAACGAGAGAAAAAAAAGAATTGCCAAGACAAAACACGAATCTGATTCAATAACGGAAATATTAAACGATAATGAAGACAAGAATAAAATCATCTCGAGTAGGAATAACAAAAGAAGTCTTCGAAATTCAAAATTGATGAAATGTGATGATGAACCCGCGTCGAAAACGAGGAAACAAGTCTTTGAATGTGATCCAACCAAATTGAAAGTCGATGATGCAGAAGAGAAAACATCAATTTGCACACCTTGCCCATCAGAAAATGGTGGACAACGTGCGCAAATAATGGATACTCCGTATGAGAGTGACGATGACATTCTAATGCGCTTACCAGCTGTTAGAATATCAGGAACACTTTCAAATCCAGTGAGTCCTTCTGCATCATCGACGTCAACTGTGCATAGCACAAAATCTAAACGAGATATCGCAAGAAGTAAAGGAAAAGAAAGTACCTTGAAAGGAAAATCATTATGTAAACAGGATATTGAAAACTCTGGCAAACACAATAAGTCATCCATTGATAGTCAATCAAACCTTGTTCATGACAATCTAATGACTGACAAAATAACAGGCCCAGTGGACACTTCTGATGAATCTGACGATTGCAGCGAATCCACGTATAAACGATTCCAACAAATTGCAGATAGAATGTTAAGTAATAAACATAATTGTCCGAAACGTCAGAAGAAAAGAAGCAAGGAAAGTTCACGCGTTTCACCAAATATATCAGAAGATCCAAAGCAGAATACGGATGACGAATCGAAAAATTCGTGGATTAGTACAAAAATAACACGACATTCCAGCAAACAAAATGACAAGAGTCCACATGATCTTCAGAAAGAAACTTTAAAAAGTATAGAAGCAACCAGCTATGAAGCAACCAGATCTACAGAGTCAGAAACGAAATCTATTATCAGTAAGAGAAAGATACCTCTAAATGTGATAGAAAAAAGCGTGGACCAAACTACTTCGAAAAAACGTAAAATTGTCGCTGAGGAATGTCCAGTTTCTATACGCAGTCGCAGAAATCCCATGAAAACCACAACCGATAGGCAATCTCCGAATATCCTTGAACATGTTGCTAAAATAAGATCACGTGAAAGTATCTCTGAAAATATAAAGTCTTCCGAAGATAATAAAGCAATGTCTAAAACTACGTTGGAAGAAACTCAAGAGATCTCCTTAAATATGAGAACAGATGGAAATGTCTATCCTGGGAGATCCAATGTTAAACGAACCAGACATATAATTTATGATAATCAAGTCACGACACATGTCAATGATGTAACTGCAAATGAAAATAGTAAGAAAAATAAGCCAGCTCCAAAAGGAACAGAAACACAGACGAATCAGCAACTCAGCAAAGTTCCGAAAATTATACTTAATCCCTTAAAGTGCCTCAAGAGCCTCTCAGATGATACATCGCAAGAAGTCGAAAGTATTATGGCAAGAGCTCCGAGTAATACACGAAATAAGAATTTATCGATCAGAGAAGGTAGTAAAGCGAAAATATTTAAAAGAGAATTGAGAACCAGAAGCAAGAAACAACAAAATTCAGATACCGAAACAGATTCTGTTTTAACTGAGAGTAGTTTATCATCTGAGATAGAAGACTCTGATAATACACAACTTGACAATGTTGTATCAAAAGCTAAACGTAAAAGATCTGCTAAAAGTTCCATTTCTTCGCTGTCACAAGTCTCAATAAAAAGAAAGGAAGAAATATTTAAGAAGCCTTCTCGCATTAAGAATTCTACAAGTTCACTTATTGATACTTCCACAGAAAACATAACTGGTGAAAGTAGCCAAAGCGGTACTGAAAGTGACACTTCAATAAGTTCTAGATCTTTACGATCGAGAACAGCAAGAAAGAAGATAGAGTCGAATCCAAATACTTGTAGACTAACTGACGAGAGCGCTTCAAGTCTAAATACAAGTACAGAAACTATATCTCTTACTTTAACGCCTTCTAGAACGCGTAGGAGTATGTCGATTCTAAATAATTCCACATCATCCACAATGAAACATAAAGTTTTATTTACGGGTATAACGGGTGTAATGGAAAATTATAGTGAGATTGTTAAAACATTAGGTGAGTATAAATTTAAATAAATTATATTTAAATGAATAGATTTCTTCGCAATATATATATATATATATATATAGTATTAACAGTTATTTTACTATTTGTTGACAATTTTTATTTTACAGGTGGAAGTAAAGTGGAAGATCCGGCACAGTGCACCGTTTTAGTTACTGATAAAGTTCGTCGAACATACAAATTTTTATGTGCGTTAGCAAAAAGTGTACCCATAGTAGGGATCGATTGGTTGACAGAAAGTAAAACTAAGAAAGAGTTTATAGATTGGGAAAAGCATATATTAAAAGATTCCGAAGCCGAAACCAGGTATGATTTCAAACTGAGGGAGAGTCTTGATAAAGCTAGGGAGAAAAAAATGCTAGACGGCTATATTGTTGTATTGACGCCGAACGTCGAGCCACCGCCTATAAAAGAATTAAAAGGTAATATAGAAATATTCTTATATCAACTTATATAAAATATTTGTATTCTAATATTCTAGTATACAAATATTCGTATTTGTATTCTTATAGATATAGTATCGTCTTGTGGAGGAAAAGCTCTATTACGTCCACCGACTAAATGGCCCGAAAGAGCGATAATTTTATCTCGTAAAGAAGATTTGTCAAACGCGAAAAAGTTTCTTGCTAAAGCACCAAAGACTGTTACGGTACAAGATATAGAATTTATCCTGACTGGTATCTTAAGACAGGAAACAGATTTCGTCAAATATAAGTTGACATGATAACTGTTAATACTCAGATCAATATCCATAGTCGATTCTTTACTTAAATCTTGAAATAAGAACTGACTATGAATATCGGATTTAGTATGCATATTTTTTGGTTAATAATTAAAGAAACTAACTCTACTGTTACATATTGTCATATCTTTAGTAAATAAAAATTAGATGCAATGTCTTAGAACTTATATTATTTATGAAACTTTTAAATAAGTATACCGTTTATTAATATAAGTTCTGATTTAAACCATCAATCTTGCTTTCACAAAATCTAGATTTTGTAAAATTTTCAATATCTCAAAGCACCATAAAGAATTAAATTTTAAAACAAAGATTTTAGCAGATTTGAATTACCTATATACTTATAGAAATAGTACAACTGATTCCACATAAAAGACTGCGAATATTTTAGTTCTTTTTGAAAAAAGTGGCATATTTTACTTATACGTAACGTTATATTTATATTTATAGTTTTATTGATCATATATCTCTCTCTATTCTCTTTTATCCTTTATTTTAAACATTTTTAGAAATCATTATAGCATACGCTGTTTTATTGAGAAGAATTATTTGATTTTATAATTTACTGCTCAATATTATTTTATATAAAATACAAAAGTTAGATTTAATATAACACACTTGTATATTCTTTAATTTTATAATATTTTGAATAAAACATTAGATGGATAAAACATTTATTTCAGTCAGCGTAATGTGAATTATATTTGATTAATTTTTCATAATGAAGAATTTTTAATATTTGTTAGAAATGTGCTTCATTTTAAGAAAATATGAAAAAGAATTTATTATTAATAACTCCATCATAATAATAAATTCCTTCTCATTCTCTGTACCTAAATATAAATTATATATATATATATACTCATATTTTATAGTTTCAAAATAATTTGTTATGTATAATAGTTTAACAAATATTTTATTATATACATAATTCACAGAAAATGGGAACATTAAACATTAATTCTACTGATTATCATATTAAGACAGGGACTAAGATTTAATATTCTCGATAGTGCGACTTTTATAAGCTATGCAATAAGTTTTAACATTACATTTTTTATTTGCACAAGAAATTAATCGATAATTATTTTTATATGTTTGAAATAAAGAGAAACTTAATATAAGTTATGTATGTATAAAATAAATTTATGTATGTCTAAAACTAAATAACATTATCTTTGAACAAAGCTTTAATTTAGAAAAGATGTTTATTTTTTATTTCATTGTTATTTAAAGCTCATCTTTATTGATTCCTGAGTGCTTCAATATATTCTCCTTAAAATTGATCGAATTCCAGAATTCTTTTTCTCCAAAGTTAGGATTGCTGTCCATGTTAATCTTATCAGGACCAGCTATGTGCAAATAATGAAGCTCCTTCTTTGAAGGATCTAATCTAGGCCATTCCACATTGGCTACCTTCGGAATTCTGAAAAATTGGAAGAATTAGTATTTTGATATTGTATGAGTTTACGTTTAATACCGTATGTAATATGTATAAGTATTTCTTTCTTACCCTTCTGTGGCAAACAATACCCAAAAGTCGATTAAATGCTTTTGCATATCGCGATCTTTTTGTGTTGTAAGTGGATCTACCCAGGAAGTATTTAACACATAGACTACGTCGTCGCCATGTGAGACGCCTGATAAAACGAATAAATAATTTTTTTTTTAATTAAACATTTTTTAAATAGAAATATGTGTATCTATATTGTAAATTTTCTTGAACATTAATATTTCACAGACTTACCATAATTCACGGTGGTACCGCTGTAAGCATTGCTTAAGCTTTGCGCACCTCTGTAAGTAAAGTAATGATACCAAACTGGATTCTTATTTACTTTGGCCTGCATTCGCGCAGCTTTCTCGCTATCTACGACGAAGAAGCGATCACTCGACATTCGTATCAGTTCTTTCGTACTTTGTCGATCGATTGGTTTTGTACCAAAGTAATGTTTCTTAACAAGCCGAGTAATCTCGATATGCTTCTCTCTCGGGATAGTATAATTAAAATCAAGGTAGTCTGGCCCAAGAATATCCCAATTATCGTTCAACTGTTTCAGATTTTGATCATCAGCAATAAACTCTACAATAAGTTATATATTTGTAGTAAATATCTGTGTTATTATATGCGCATTATCTTACCAGCCACAGGATAAAGGCCTTCTTCACTCGTTACTCCTGTAACCCAAGGTATATCCTGAATGTCTCCGCTATTGATAATCTCAATGGGTGTTCTATCGATGAACGGTGTTTCATCACCAAATTTCTCAGCTACCGGCCCGAAAGGAGTGAAGGGATTGAAAAAGAATGGCTAAAATCATAAGATTGATCATAACTTTCTTTTCTTCATCCGAGGATTGCGTTTATCTTTTTATCAAGACAATAAAAGTAAGAAGAGTTTTACCATAAATTCACTTGTAGTTTGTACGATTGCACGAGCTGGACGATATCTCAAGCAACGTATCATATCTCTGGAGCTAATTGTAGGACATCCCATTAAAGCGCCCAATTTCTTGGCCTTCTCTAAAGAGTTCTCAGCTTGCGTCCAACAATCAAATGCTGTACCGCTAAACGATATACCATCTAGATTACATAAAGTTGTGACGTAGCAGTTTAATATAATATGTAGATGAAACGATTTTTTATCTTTATATTAATTTTTATACTATTTCATAAAATTACTTCGGAAGAGTCCAGCGCTCATTTGCGATAAGTAATGATAATGTACGCTCGCACCACCAGCACTTAAACCGATCAATGTCACTTTTTTAGGGTCGCCACTAAACCATTCGATGTTCTGTGATACCCAACGAAGTGCCATATTTTGGTCTTTCAGACCCATGTTGCCAGGAACTATTTCATCTTCCGTACTGAGAAAACCTAATATTTAAAAAAATGATTTTCAATTTAGAGAGTTAATAAATTAGGAGACGCACAACACATATAAGTTTACACATTTGTTTTAAAATTGTTTGTATCAAATAATTGAACGAATAAACTTTAACATTTTAAAAGTAATAAATATTATTTTTATTAATATGCTAATAATTTTAATTTCAGTATGTAATGTTGATATTAAATACCCATAGGTCCCAATCGATAGTTAATTGTGACAAGTATAACATCATGATCCATTAGATATTTGGGTCCATACAATATACCGCTACCACATTGGAATGCTCCGCCATGGATCCAAAATATTACCGGCATTGAGATTTTATTTCCTTCTTTTTCTCGTACTGGCACGTAAACATTTAAATACAAACAATCTTCGGCACCTACAACTTTCTCCGGAGGATGTTCTGGCACTTGATCATATTGAATGCATACGGCACTTAATTTTGTAGCCGATAGTTCACCAATCCATGTTGGTATTGGCCGAGGGGGCTGCGCAAGAAAAATGAGAAGAAATTCTTAACTAAAACATTTTTTATCAATATTTTTAAGTGAGAAAGTTTTTATAGAAATTTAGTTTCTAAACAAAGGAAAGTAATTAACAAGGTATTTGCAATAAATTATTACTTATTGCAAGAATTCATTTTCATCTTATCATATTAAAAGTACATATCATTTCGAAAAATGTATACTAAAAGAAGAGTTTGGTTGCATTAATTGGTATTCTGGTTGAAAATGAATAAATCAAAATTTTCTAATCGAATCTATTATAATTGTAGTTGAATAATCAGAATTTTGATTAATATGATCAGAATTTTCTAGTTCGTTTATTTTCAACCAGAAATTTTTCTTAGGCTGACTTTTCACTTGACGCTACGACACTCATTTTCAGCGTCAAAACAGGTCACGTGATCAAAATTGACGCTTGATACTCGTGAAAATAAACGTCGTAGCGTCAGGTGAAAATCCAGCTAGTGTAACTTTAAAGATATTAAATACTAAGTATAAGCATATTCGGGCCTATGACGGTCAAAGTTAGATCTTTTTGCCTAAATAATTCCCAGTGAATTATCTATATCCTATATATGTACATGCATATATATCATATTTTTGTAGTTATTCAATCTGGGCGCCAAAATTTTTCCGGACTTTAACGCAATTAAACTACTGCAATAATATCACAAGTTAGATAAAGTCCGGAAAAATTTTGGGAATTATTTAGGCAAAAAGATCTAGCTTTGACCGTCGATAGGCGCGAATATGCTTATATACTTAGTATTTAATTTCCTGTCGGTCCGAATAAAATCTTATTATTGTTTAAAGATATTTATACCAATGATTAATTCGATTATGTACTTTAAATCGTAATTTCCCAACAGGTGGCAAAGCGTAAGGAACCCCTTCATAAGCTTCGTATTTTCTGCCATTTTGCGAGGTTTTGTAGTAACCTTTCAGTCCTCCCAAAGGTGTTCTAACTCTTGGAGCAGTCTCTGTATTCGCGTAAATGGTGAAGTCGAAAGCAAGTAGAACGATCAGTAGTAGTTTCAGCAACATAATAGTTCTCATATAGCCTGTTGCACCTTGTTAAGATTACTGCGAACTGGCATTCTTTAGTACCAGTTGCTTCTTATATCCTTGAATAAAGAGGCACTGGTATCTGTATATACGCATATGTATAAATTAAATAACCGTTAGAAGACGTATTTATCAAACTTAATAACATTTAATATACTGTCAATATATACTTGTGCATGTAATTATCTCATATTATGTTACATATTTATTTTAGTTAGATTAATCAACAATTATTGTGTTTTTAAAAAGTGACAAAAATATCAAATAATTTATTATGTCTAAGAAGATGGACGTTTTATTTATGAATGTTATTCACTCGTACAAAATACGTGAGAACGCAAAAGAAATTTCTTTTAAATTTTAAGATAAAAATGAATTAACAATTCATCTTGAAATAAATATGAACGAGAAGTGAAGTTTCACATCTAAGAATATTGCAGTATGTAACTTCATACACTTGCAACTTTTATTTTGTTGAGCGAGATAAGATATCCTCTATCAGTTATCGTATATATACAATATATATACAGTTTATCTGTATCATCTATTTTTCATCTATTTTCTAGATATATTTTTTATACATAGTGGAAGACTACTTGAGCAAATTTCTAATATAAATTCTGAGCAGAAATATATGTAATAATAATTTGAATTTTTTAAAGCTAGTAGGGATGAAGGATTAACTTGGCAATTTGAACCCTTCTAACAAATGTTTAATAATGTAAAAATATTATTTTTATTATTTTCCTTCTAACAAACGTTTAATAACGTAAAAATTTTTATTACTTACCTTCTTACAAATGTTTATTAATATAAAAATATTATTTTTATTACTTTTATTACTATTAATATAATTCTTGGTTTGAGTTGTTTATATTTTTTTATTAGAGATACAAACATGACTACTTAATTGATGTGCGTGCTACGTTTAATGTTTTTATCATTATATAATCTTATTTATATATGTTAATTATATTGTACATGTAGGCGCGAGACTGCCCGATAAAATTACACTCAGTAAGTTGCTCATAAAACTTGCGTATATATAAGCGTATTAAATTGTATAATTTTATTCTAATCAATTTGTATCAATGCAAATTTCTTATTTTATTTAAGATGGCACTGCAATAAAAATATTGCAATTGTTTTCAAGAAGAACTAATAGTATTTTTTTTTACATTCACATTGCTACGAACTTCAATAACGAAACTAATTTAAACGAAACTAATTATAAGCAATTCTAACAAATGTAGACACGAAATGTTATATTAATATAACATTTCGTGTCTACATTTGTTAGAATTGCTTATAATGAGCTCAATTACTTAAAACAGCAGAAAAAAGACAAGAAAAAGTACTCGATGTATCAGAGCTAAAAGTTAAAGTAAAGTAATACTGAAACAAAAAATTCGCGCAAACTACTTCAAGAGTGATATAACATTTTAATAGACAAACTGACGATAATTCGCGTAATCTTCAGAGCAAATATGTGAAAAATATATTCTATAAAGTCAAATCTATAAAACTATAGAAACAAAATTTATTGTCTAAGAGAAAGATTATGTATCTCTGAATATAATAGAAGCAGATTACTTCGAAGAGGTGTAAAACAGCTTAAGTCACTAAGGAATATCTGGCTTCTGTACGTTGAAGAAATTAACAATAAAAACCGCTATCAACAAATAATCCTAAAATATTCTTGAGTATTTTGTTAAAACCATATATATGAGAATTCTTCGATGATTGAGAATTTGAAGTCTTTTGACGATGTAATACAGCAGTCTATATCTATAGATCTCCATCGAAAATAATTTAAAAGAGTTTCAATATACCGAGAACAGAATATACCGATCCTAAGAGATACAATGTTAAACGAGCCATATAATTTATGATGATTAAGTCACGATACGTGTGTTGATGATGTAACAACGGAATAAATAGTAAGAAAAATAAGCTAACTCAAATGAAAGAAGTAAAAACACAGGCAAGTTGACTGCAAGACAATTTAGTTTTAAAAACTTTCTTCTTAATAGTCCTATAAAAGTCTTGCGGATTAAAGTGTATAAAATTTGAAATCTGTAGTCTCATAACTATAAGAAAGTGAGAGAGAAAGAATAGTATACGTGCAAATGTGATGCGCTAACAAACAGCTACTACTAATAGCGACAAAAAGATAATATAGTTAAATAAAAAGGAATGCGCACGTACACATTAGAAATACATATTCATACACATGCGCGCACCCACATATATATATATATATATACATAAGGTAAGAAAAAGATAATAAGCGGATAGCAGAATTAAACTAGTCATCAGTATTAAATATTAATTTTCTCACAAAGAAGATATTTCAGTAATCTACCATATCAACAGGGAATGGAAGTAACTCGTTACTTGTAACGAAGTTACAGTTACAAGTTACTTTTTTGGTAACTTTACTAGTAACTGCGTTACTTTTTTTCTTTGGTAACTGTAACGGTAACGAAGTTACATTTTTTTGGTAACGGTAACGAATT